GAATTTCAGAAACTGCAAAGCATCCTTGGGCATAGTACGAACACCGTGTAGAAATTTCAACGAAATACGAGCCAACTTCTCAAGTCATATAAGATTACTGGACAGACCGACAAAAATGAGTGGCATGGTTTTCCACGATGTACATGTCATATTATAACATCTCAAAAACGTAATATCAAATTTTCGAAAATTTTCACCAGTACGCGTGGAAAGAAAACATCCCAGAGACGCTCAACAGTTGTTAGAAGCTCGAAAAAATATCGAAGCATGAATTTTGAACATGCTGCTTTCCCTTTATAACTTCCAATAGGGTAATCGCGTATTACCAGTTTTTTTAGTGCTTTACCGACAATTGTATAACAAGGTTCTTAGATGTGTTATAATCTTTACGAAAATTCCGTCTGCAACTGGGTCTGTAGATTTTTGTAACCGCGTAATTTCAAAAATGGTTGAACTGAGATTTGGAGAGCGATGTACTCGATAATAAATAATGATTCTTTATTTTTGATACGAATTGGCGTATAGGTCTATTCTCTGTTTTTTAGAAGATTGCAGCAGAACTACGGGAATTATTTCACCAATCTCCCTCGCATACGTATGCAATCGTACTCTATGCGCGTAGGTTTGTTTGTGTAAGCTTCAACGTATGAGTTCCACATTTGTATTTGTCACTGTCAGTGTGACAACCTGCTTGTGTTTACTCATGATGATATTCGAAAAAAGTATAATTGTGCCAGAAGATACAACCACAATGTGGACACCGAATATTTTCAGACAGTGAGTGAAGGCAACTCATGTGTGTGTGCAAGAGCAAGTAGCTGCTGTATTGCGGATCGGATTGCGCAGTGTGAAGCTTCCCTGAGGAATGGTACGTGGTACCAATAGTCAATCTGTTTTCTTGTTTCGAATGTGACGTAACCGTTAAAAACTGTGAAAAGAATAGTGGCAGAGATATCATCAAAGAACGAAAAGTTCAGATCTTTTTGAAGCTTCCTTACTGTATGATTTTTGACCGATCGATCACCCTTTGGAGTAGTTGATAATTTATTGTCGCTCAAAAGCATCAACTCTTTTGAGATTTGGTTCTATTTTTCTACAATGTTCAACCGCATAATCGATTCTATTACGTACGGTAAGATAATGTGTGGGTCTTGTTTAAATTTTTTAGAAATCTCATTCAGCCATTCTATATGTAGAATTGACGTTAAAATGAAAAAGAGCGAATCTATAATGTAAAAGCGTTATGATAACGTTCACCGGAAATAAGGATACCTGATACTAAACCGAAAATAACGAGTTTCCATTCTTTCTCCAGACCTTTCAGATGCTCTCGAATATGGAGAATTGTTGGTGCGTCTTTTTATACCTTATCTCACATGGCAAAGTTAAGATGCTGGGTTGATCTTTGTCTCCGCACATAAAAAGACGCAGAGAAAGACGGTGGTATCAGGTTAAGTAACGCCCTGTTCAACGCCCTTCTGTGCAGGATCGGACTACATACCCTTGTAATTGTAAGATAGAAAAAATAAGTAGACAAGGTAATTACCTCCGCCGATTTTGATGCAAAGGCAAGAATACGCTCTGTTATATTTCTCGACGGAGCTACTGGTCCTCATTCTTCGTATTTGTTTGTATTTGATGCTTGTAATCATTTGAAGCTTGGCCTTAAAGAAATTAAGGAACAATTTTCACGCGTTTCATAAATTTCCAGTACCTCATGTTTCTTGTAGTTAATAGAGTTGTATCCCGAGCAGTAGTCATTGCCATTGCCAACGACCAGTTGGGCAAGAAACACAATCAATTGTTAATTGGAAAATTGGCAAACATTTTTTAAACTTTAGTAAACTCTTTTAACGGTAATCTCGAGCTTTCGGCTTCTCTTAGGAGCCATCTTCAGGAGTCGTCGCCGCTGAGGTTGCAGCCAAATGGTGTTTCAAAACGAAAGCGTGGATGAGAGCACTTTTTACAAATATTAAACCAAAAGGACGGACACATTGGGTTTATTGATAACCACGGAAACCATCGTTAGGTATATATATATATTGGTCTGGAAATGAGGAGTGTTTACACTAATTATGTTTGCCAGAGGCGAACGAGGGTTTTTAAAAATAACTTTCATTTCCCGCTGATGAATCTAACTTCCACTACAATAGTTTATAGCTATCTGATTGACAAACAAAAGGTACAACGGTTTTTATGAAGTCGTATAATAGGAACACACATATAAGCTAATTCTTAAGAAGCATGGAGGACGTATCAGGTTGCATGTATAAGATAAAACTCTTCCCCCCTTAGATCGAAACCTCCTCGTTTCGATTTCTTTCAGTTTCAGAAATATTTATTTCCATTACAGGAGGATCAGAACCCTTTCCAATGAACAAGTCTTTTAGACAACATTTGTATATAAGATAAATTACTCCAATAACAATGATTAAGCCAAATATGGAGAATCTGCTAATTATTCCAGTATGATAAAAATTTAGATTTTGATAAGTATTTGGATTCATTTGTTTGAGAGTAGTTTTCAATTCTTCCAAATTTCATCAATTATTATATCACATATGCTATCCAATATATAGGAGGAACCCTTTAAGTTAATCTTCTTGACGTTCTCTTCACATTTGTCTACTACGGTTCAAACTGAGTTTGAATAAAAAATTAGAGCATTTTTTATAAAGGAAATAGTCGTTTTTGACCTCTTGGAATACACAGTGCATGTAATTATTTTTTAATGGGCATACATTGGTGGGCTGCGAAGAAAAGCAAACATGAAATTTTTCAGTTTTCTTACAGGGTGCTTCTTTTACATCATTACTTAAATATAATGTAGTAGGTGGTTCTAATATAATATTTTCGTTATTTGGCAATGGATATACATAATACAGATTGAATAGGAGTTTACGAAGTATTGGAATTTTCAAGATACAAAAGATATCATCATTGATGTGCACAATGCTTAGCTTACTTAGTTGTAGTATTTGAAATGGCCGGATATCTCCAACATTTATCATAGCCTTTGGAGTATATATTTTTGAAAGGTGATTTTGTGTCAATTCTAATTCTTCACTGGAAAAAGGTATTTAAATTTGGAATTCCTTGCAAAGCTAAACTTAATGATACTTCAAGACTTCGAATATAATTATATAACTGACTTGCAACAAATAAACTCCTTGTAATGACCATATGTTTATATGTATCTTGCTTAAAATTCTTGATTGCGGCATGTGTATTTAATAAACACTTTTCAACGATCTTCATATTATTTTCCAATTTTGCTGAAATTACATGTGCATCTGAGTTTGTGTATCGTGCAATTTATGAAAATTATTTTCTATAGCAGTAAGATCATCTTGATCTAAATTTCCCGATATAGGATATCTAATAACTGTGCCAAGACCATTCACCAAGCCATGTTTAGATCGCCTAGGTGTTGAGGTGAATTTTTGAAATTCTTCTTCAATAGAGCTTATAGAGTGTTCAAAATCTAAAAGTAAAGCATGCCTAGACATATCATTTTTTATTTGAGTGGAAATTATCCTATAGCTATTTATAACTAAGCAGTAATTTTGTAATGCGTGCGTTAGATTATGGTAATAATATATCGATAAATTGATCTCCATTATTGATAAAATCAAACAGATCTTTGGATCCTCCGTGATACTCGGGGACCATATCCCTAGCATTATTTCAGTACCTGTGGCCTCAACCATTTCGTGTTCAGAATGTGTATATGGACAAATCGATATCAGAATCAGAATCTGAGTGGTAACATGTACCGGTTGTACCACCCAACATTAAAGTGTAAACCTAGAAATTATACAGGGTGGGCCATGGATTAGTTAACATTTGAAAAAATCGTGTGAAAAAACATTTCACATATTTTAAAACATGTCTATTCACAAAAAAGCTAATTAGTTGGAATTCATTTCTTGAAAATTATATCATCTAAATGACCACCGTTACGATTTTTGCACTTCTGGGTGGCCATGGGATGTCGCCTCGTCTGGAAATGAGCTTTTCCGGAAACATTTCTTTGACCACCGGCTGGGACTCGTTGGATGTGTGACACGTGGCTCCATCTTATTGAAACCATGTGTTACGATTATTGCCAGCAAATTACAGTAGCATCGGTGCCAAGAACTCCCGTAACATTTTCACATACTCAGCAGAATTAACAGTAACTGAATGGCCGCGAAAATCTTCAAAGAAGTAAGGGCCAATGATTCCTTTTGCTCAAATTGCAGCCCATACAGTTATTTTAGGAGAGTAAAGTGGGTTCTCGTGTTTAGGTTTGGGATTTCCGATGCTCAAGTAGCTGCAATTCTGTTTATTCACATGTCCGCTGAGGTGGAAATGAGCTTCGTCAGAAAATAAGATATTGTCAAAATTACTGAATCGAGCTAACATCGTTTCGACTTGCGGAAATTTTAGTTCCTGTACAATCTGGATCTTATATGGATGTAATTTCAAATCTAATCTCAAAATGCGCCGTAATGATGTGCGGGATAATCCTAATTCAGCCGAACGTTTACGCGTCGATAAGTCTGGATCACGTTGACCAGAAGCGGAAACTTGCTGCACGTTCTCTTCGCTCCGAGCAGTCCGTGGGCCACCGGTTTGCTTAGAACTTCTTCACCCATTTCTTTATCAAAGGAGCACTCGGACACTGACTTAAGTCGTATAAATTGTATTCAACACGAAATAAGCGTCTCACAGTAATGAGCGAACTGTTGTTTAAATAAAATTGCGACTGAATTTCCGAGAAACGAGCTAGCGACTGGCCCCTCGCCGCGCTTCGCGCGGTATCTGTTTGCGTGGTGTATTAGATTTAAATGTTAACGAATTATTGGCCTACCCTGTATATACATATATATATATATACGTCAATAATATAGCAATAGTACTAATATATCAGTCAAAATCTATAAATCAATAACGAATAAAATATTAAATTGAATTATGCACACCAAGAGAAAGAATCGACAAAGATAGGGACTTACATAGTGAAAATAAGAATAATCTTTATTCTTGGTCAGTCCTGAACTTCTAACATTCAGCTGTGGGGTGGCGTTCTCGATGGGTTGGCTTTCCCAAGCTAGATGTTGACCTTTGGACGTTTCGATAGTGGAAAGCGCCCAAACTCTCGGCCTTCTCCTGGTTCTTCCGGTTCTGCTATTGGCCTCTGGCCCAAGCGGCGTTATTTCTTTTGACCAGGCAGGTGCCAGTGGACTTCTTCGCCCTGGTCTCCTCTTCTCGTTCGTGGATGTTCGATTATCTCCCCTTGGCTGACAGAAGTGGCGGATAACTCACAAACACACAAACAGTTGATAGCGACCGGTGCGGTGGTGATGCTCGATACACTTCTAATAGCTTTGGAGTAAGTACAGTTAACTTAGTGCCACCGAATTACTCTTTCTTCTAACACACGCACCGTACGAGGGATCCCGGTTGAGCCCCCAATTATGTTTGCCAGAGGCGAACGAGGGTTTTTAAAAAATAACTTTTATTTCCCGCTGATGAATCTAACTACCACTACAATAGCTGATAGCTATCTGATTGCCAAACAAAAAAGGTACAACGGTTTTTATAATGTCGTATAATAGAAATACACATATTATAAGCTAATTCTTAAGAAGCATGGAGGACGTATCAGGTTGCATGTATGAGATAATTCTAAGTTTTCTAGCAACGGTAATAGAAGAATACAAGATAACGCCAAGATGATGCAATATAATAATTATAGTGTATAGAGTGAGCCAAAGTACATAACTCAATACACTCGACCGCCTTTAATGCATCACGTTAATTTTTTCGATAATAAATAATTATATCTAGATAAGTTTTGCTACTCGCAAATCTGTTATCAAAACTACAATGTCATTAGGGAATGCCGGTAAGTCGGTATGTTTATGGAGAAGACAGTAGTTTTTACAAAAAAAAAACGGTGTTAGTACCAAATATCTACTAAAAGATTCCTGGATATTATAACAAGAAGGAGCAGTAAGTAATGCGTTGACTCTTGTTTTGAACACTTCGTAGTTCTCCAAAGCACGATGGCATCTTGGTAATGTAACGAATAATGTTACACAATGTATGGCGATTTTTCATAAAACGTAGAAGAATTACTCTGGAGTCTAAGAAGGTCAGCCTGACTGATTTAATATATTTCCAGCAACTAACTTATTGAATCCTCTCCACCGCTGACACCAGAAACTGCATTCGTAATTTAGCAGGTACTCTTAGTAAGGAACATAACGGAAGACTCCAAGATACACTTTCCAAGGAAAATCAATGTGGTTTTGAGAAAACAAAACTAATTTTTGCAAAAAACAGTGACGTTCGATAAACATAAAATCAGACAAGTGTAAATGCCAGCTGTATCCTGAAGAAGGAGGAACTTCTGAACTAATCTTTATATAAACTTTTTCCTATTTTTACGCGTTGAATCTGTCTATTTTGTCTATTGTCTATTCCAACACCTCCTTTAGATGAAGATAAACGGACAAATATCTCCAAAAGTTTCGATACGATGTCTTCACTTGTCTGGTAAGCAAATATTGAAGGAGATTATCCACTGATAATAGTGGTGGGCAAACGATAAGCGACTGTGGTAATTCTCAACGACGATCATAAAGTATTATATAAGTATATAGCTGATTCGAACGTTAATAAGAAAACTCTGAATACATCTCTGTATCCCATAGTCAGTAATTTAGGGACGAAAAACATCGCCGATGGATCGCTGGCCGTGTCATAAAGGCAGACAATAAGCCTGTATAGTACAGGTTCCTGTTGCCCTTTTGCGAAGGTAGAAGGTACGCTACATCCGGAGGTGGATCCATTTAATTCTTATAGACTCTGGTGCTACACAATGCCATGCGAAAGGTGAAACGAACATGAGTACTTACCGGCTTTTAAGTACTTACCAGCTTTTATATACAAGAGATTGTCGAAGATCCTTATTAATAAATTAAAGTTTAAAACACTAAAAACACGCTTTAATAGCAAATCTAACTAAAAAGTAGTAAATAATTTTCAAGTATAGGAGAGTTTGCTCTATTGCAATAGAAAGGAATAAGACAATATAAAAATAAAAAAATTCAATTATAGTAAAATAGCGTGTGATGCTTGATATTAAATGTTAGTTCAATTTTCTCAGTTGCTATTTACAACAGGTGAATTTTTTGTTAATATCTCAATTTTCATATTTATCTTATTCCAAATTCGTTGCTCATTATTGGGCCTTAGTAGAAATATTTCCTGTTTAGAACTCCGTCAGAGGTAATACGTTTTCGGATGTTTTAGTACTTCTATATTACAATAAACTATGATGTCAATTTCTGCTTGTTTGCCCGTCAATCTAACTACGAATCTGAAGCCTATGGGTATGTTATATAGATATTTTTCTCTCAAAAGGGTATATATTAGAGTATCTGTTAAAAATAGGCCAATTCATTAAAAAAAACAACTTCCACCCCTGATATCCGGTTGGACGTTTAAGATGTTATATACAATTTTGGGAATGATCACAATCTGGCTCCCTGAAAAAAATTGCTAACAACTGCTGGGGACAGGTAAACTTTCACACAAAAAGTTGCATCTTGTCGATGATGGAACAAGGCAGGTATAATCATTTCAGAAATTTTTCTCCAGATACGAAGCATAATTACACATAGTCTTCTTTGCAAGTGGACATTCTCATTCGATTTGAGGCCTTCATAAGCAAACGAAAAGACGGTTAAATAGGTTGACTCAACACTTCCTACGTAACGCCGTTAAAGGATTATGTTAAGCAAAAACTAGATCCTCTGAGAAAAAATTCAGTGAAACAGTTCATACAATTATTATTCCCTGCTCTACCGGTAGTGCATCTGGTAATATCGCCTTTCACCGATACTCAACTCGGTCAGACGTGGCAGCGCGGTCAGAGCATAGGAAACACTATGCTGTGGTGCGGCAGTAATACGTGTGATAATACCATAAAATAACAACAGAACACTTCCCAACCGTGGCCTGTAGCTGCGGGATTTGTCTGCCGAGGATATTTTTTTTCAAGTTTTAAGGGCCAGTGTACTGATAAATCTATAATGTTTGGAAATGTGTAATAGGTGCGTAGAATTACCAAGGATGGGAGCGTATAAATATACTAACCTAAAGAATTAAGATAAACCCTCCCCACCCCCAACTTTTCACCACAATTTTTTTTTCAAAACTGATAGCTATCAAAAAATGTACTTTGAGCGAGTTTAATTTTTTTCGTTTTAGGCATTTTTCTCTGCCGCCACCGGACCGATTTTCAAAAACTACAATGCTTTTGCGTCCTTGGGATAGTAGTAAGATTGTGTAAAAATTTCATTGAAATCCGAGAGGTACTTCTCAAGTAACTTTTCTGGATGTGTTGAAATCACACTTTCCTTGGCTGTTTATTGAAATAAAAATAAGTTTCCGTGGTGAAAAAATGTAATAAACCATCTTCATTGATTTTTACAGATAAAGTAACGTATGTCCTAAAAGTTTTAGCACAAAATATTTATCGGATTGTTTTTAATTAAGAATTTTATTTAAACACTAACTAACTAGCTATCATAAATAACAACTCAATACTTAACTAAATAAAGTTATAGGTGGTTATAAGATTAACGGACAGACAGACATACCGAGACCGATGGCATGTTTTTTGTGATGTACATGTCATATAACATAAAAACATAATAACCTTTTTTCGTAAATTTTTTCAATCACACTACTTCCGCGCTAATAGGCGTGGGAAGTAAAACGACTAAAAAATCCAACTATGTAAATGTCCAGATTTGAATACCTTACTGTATTGTTATGATAACAGAAATGAAAAATTGAGTAAAAGTAAAACATTTCTACTGAACAGAAACTTAGGTTTTCCAACTTGATGCCTAGCGATTTAATTCTTAAACAACTCTAAAAATCGCTTCAGCGATTTTTGTGAGTCGGAATTTTCCTAACAAATATCTATCTTTCTAACAATTTCTATGTTTCCATTAATTCTTTGTGTAACAAAGCACCGTATTTAAAGTCAAAATATTATTCGGTTTATACAGGGTGTAAAGGTTATGATAGTCATTATTTAAATGGGTGATAGAGGGTGTTAAAAGAAGCAAAAAGTTTCATATAACATGGGGGTCAAAACGGCATTTTTTAGAGAAAAGCGACTTTAAAGTAAAATGAATCTGACAATGCCTCAAAACTCTACAAAAGGATAACTAACCACTGTTACCGTTTGCGATCGATTGCTGGTTCGATAAGAGTGATGAAAGACCGACGCGCTGTTTTAATGTGTGTTTTAAATATTTAATTTAATGAAACTTACTTACTTACTTACTGACTACAAATTAAGGCTCAACTTAAAAAAAATTAGTAAGATTGTGGTGATTGTGGTCGATATAAAGCACTTAAAGTTGTAAACTATAAAGTCATCTAGACAAAAATCTATTGACTTTTGGACCATGGGTCATATGAACTCTTTGACTTGTTTTGACCCCCCTATTACCCATTTCAATAATGACTACCATAACGTTTACACCCTGTATATAAGGTGTACAGACCATATGGCGAGAAAATTGCAGTCTCCAACGGCTAAATTCTCGACAGTTCTCTCAAACAGTACAGAGCGTTGCATGTTTCAATCATCAATAAAATCCCCTCTTCTGTTAAGCTTCTTGGTCACAAAGCGCTCGTAAATAAATAACTTAGAATCTTTTAAAACTAGCAACAACGTCTAAACAATACACTCAATGGTCTCTTGAAAAATGGTAACATAACATAGCGTGCGTAGCGGTGGATTGGTATTGTTTTGAATTAGGGAGAGGGCGAACCAAAACACTTAAGGGTTGATTATCCAAAGGCACTAAACCATAAAATCAGCACCCCATGTCAGTTGCTAAATAGTCAATATTTGCAGCAGTATGTGCATATACCTCTTGCCCGGAAAAATGGACAAAATTTGAAACGACATAAGCTAATCGAGAGTTCAAAGAAGAAATTCGATGTCAAGGAAGGTATTTATACAAACACCGTGAGCTAATTGATGGATATCAGAGCTCTTCAAAAGCAAGGTATAATATTCAGGTGGCGGTTCTAGGTTCATTTTATGAAAAAGATCCATTTTCGAAAAATATCCTGTTTTCTAAGAAAAGTTTTCAAGTTTGTTATATGGCTACCGTTCGTTAGGATATGGTGATGTGCATTTCTTTATTCCTTCCAGGCGCGTTCGTTCAGAAATTGAGTTGAACACTTTTGAAGAGGTATGTAGTTATTCTAACAAAAATTAAATTATATTATTTATAATTCTAATTCACTTGTTTTCGCTTAAGAATCGGAAACATTGAGTCGCTGTTATGTTGTTTGTTATCTTGTATCAATTTAAACATTATAGCTATATGACCACCAAAGAAATATTTTTGTTTTTTTTTTAAATGCAAATCGTAAGTTGGTGGACACCGAATCAAGAGATCATATTTCCACTTCTTTCGCTTTACAGTCTGACTAAGCCAATGGAGCAATCTCACTTCAAATATACACAATATCAACAGAATGAAACATTACGCT